TGCGTTTTAACCTTGACCGCCAAGGGGTAGTTATGTTCAGATTACCAGCTGTAGGAAGAATCTGGAAGAAGATCCAGGAGCACGCCCATACAATGAGATTGTGGGTTTTTTGATATAAAGAGAGAATATTTCAAAAGATTTGTGTGGTATTCAGTGGGGTAGACTATAGTAAGTTTTAACTTAGTATAAGTCCGAGTGACCACTCCAGGTGGGGGGGAATAAATGCATTTTAGTATATAGACTTAGAAAAAAAAAAAAAAAAAGAAAAAAAAAGGGAAAAATAAATACAATATGATCCCTGTCAATGCGGATACATACACATGCAAATTATATATATATATATATATATATATATATATATATATATATACACACACACGAGAGAGAGAGAGAGATATTAGAAACATGTACACATATACGCAATGACAGAGATTTGGGATGCTTAAAGTAAGAGAGAAAAAGTGAAAAATAAAGTGAAAAATGGACACGGATGTCCGCTAAAGGTCGGGGGGGGGACCGAAAATTTGAAATATACGTTAAACAAAAAAAAAAATAAAAAAAAAATAAGAGGGAGCTGAAAGGGAAAGAATTAGCCGGAGTCAAGAATTTACAGTCATAGCAAACTACACGAAAAGTAACATTTAAAAGAATAAATGCTACATTTACCGTTTCTTCCTACTCCGGAGCATGGCAAAAGTGATCTTCCACAAATGTTCAGTTCTCCGTCACCAACGACAGATACTTATCAACTTTTATGGGGTAGGCTGGACTTATACTACGGATTGGTAGGGGGGGGGGCTGGATATCAAAGAATTCATTAAACAAAGGGGTAGAAGCAAAACAGTAAAAGTTATACTTTTCCGGTCATCTCTCATCCTACTAGCCCCTAAAAGATACATTTTTAAATTTTCCCTCAAAGACATGATAGTCAAAGGGCAGATTATTATTATTATTATTATTATTATTATTATTATTATTATTATCAGATGTTCTTTTCATTATTCCATTCTGCTCTTAGTGTGTTTTAATTTGGCTCACTTGGTTAATTTTTTAAGATATATCATCAGCATTCATTTTCCTGAAATTGTGAACAAAAATCATTTAATACATTGCATTGCAAAAGTCTACACCTACTTGAAAACTGGATGTATTTTGTTTATTTTGATAGGAACAATTAATATTTTAAATTCCAATAATTTGTTTTAATAAGCAGATCTATCACACTTTTATTTAATACACAAAATACATTTGAAAAATTTAAAACTGATTCTTAAACAAAGATAATTTTGAAAAATATCTTTGCAAAAGTCTACACCCCCTTTTGAATGTCTTCAGCTAATACTTTGTGGATGATCCTGCTGCATCAATTACAGCCTGCAGACACCTCAGGTAACCTTCCACAAGCTTGCTGCAGTGGTCTGCTGACAGTTTTTGTCATTCTTCATGGCAGAACTTCTCAAACTATGTCAGATTGGATGGGGAATGTCAGTGCCCAGCCAGCTTTAGATCTCACCATAGATTTTCTATAGGATTCAGGTCTAGAGATTGGCTGGGCCACTCCAAAACTCTGATTTTCTTGCTAGCAAACCAATCTTGTTGAAACTTGAAATTGCGACCCATGCGCAGAGCTCTAGCAGACTTCAGCAGGTTTGCTTCCAATATTTCTTGGTACTTGACACTGCCCATGACACCTGAAAAACAGCCCCAAAACATGACCAAGCCACCGCCATGCTTTACAGTGGGGACAGTGTAATGAGGTTGGTGAGCAGTGCTTTTTTCCACCAAATGTAGCGTTTCATTTTCCAAATAACTCGACTTTGGTCTCATCTGACCACAAAATCTTTCACCACATGATCATGGAATCATTGATGTGACTTTTGGCAAAGTTTAGCCTAGCTTGTTTGTACATAGGCTTCAGAAGGGGCTTTTATCTAGCTACCGTCCCTTGCAGGCCAGACCAGTGCAATACTCTGGAAATTGTAGATGCATGGACATCTGTCCCAGTACTGGAAACTGAAGCATTCAAGTCTTTCTGTGTTGCACTAGGGTTGGAGGTTGCCTCCCGGACCAGTTTTGATTTTGTTCTTCTGGTAAGTTTGCTTGGTCTCTCAGATCGTGGTAGGGTAGCAGTGGTTTTGTGCACTAACCACTTCTTAACTACAGTTTTAACAGTGCTTAGGGGCAATTCTATAGTTTTTGCAATCTTTTTATAGCGATTATTTTCATTGTACTTTTGAATAATAAGGTTTTTAAGTTCCTGAGACAGAGGCTTTCCCAAGTTGAACACCTTGTGCTTACAGTCAGAGTCCAAAGACCAACATACCAAGAAACCATGTGGTGGATGATTTTGTAGGCAGTTAAATCACCTTATATAGCAAAATAATAGACTGAACAAGTTTGTTTCTTATGGTAGAACGCACATGTCACTTTTGATTGTTCTGGATTGTATACATCAATGATAAACTACACAGTATAATATCTGGGGGGGGGTAGACTTTTGCAAAGACATTTTTCTAAGTTATATGATTTTAAAATGTAATTTTTATATCAAAGGAAAGTGTGATGGATCTGCGTATTATTTAACAATCATTGGAATTGAAAAAAATGTGTTGTTCCCTGTTAAATTATTGTGACACTATTTAGCTATGGTAATTGGCTAACTAATTAACCATAGAAATTAAAAACGGGAAATACTTAAGGCAAGAAAGAGCTATACCGAAAGATTAAAAAAAGAAGAATTTATTTTATTTACAAAAGGAAGATACTTTTCGCAAAAAGACAGAAAATAAGTAAGAAAGAGTGAGACTGTGATTCTGTCAAATTAATTAACATCACGATAAGGGAGTGACGCATCAAATGAAACAGAATTCTTAAAGATAAACAAAGTCAGTCAACGCATGCAACCATGGAAATAATTTCAGCTTGAGACCACCCTAGAGAATAGCTATTAATTATCTTTCAGAGATATCATTTAACTTTAATTCCTGATTCCAGCGAGGGAAGCCATCTGGTCTATGTACGAATCTTGACATGAAAAAAAAGAGAGTCGAAAAGGGGATCATTATTATTGCTTATTCAAACTGTTGACTCAAAAATGAGCATCTGGTGATAAGAGAATTTTAAGACATGAGAAAAATAAAGAATTTAATTGTCGGGTGGGCTCGGCCACCCAGTTGAAGGTTGACCAGTGGAGAAGCCAAATGTCAGTTGTCGACAATGATTATTGAGTCAGTAGAGGTCCGAGCTAAGGTGGATTTGGGATGTGATAAGGAATTAGATGGCAATCTGGGATTTGTAAATGTTTTGGCCAAAGGAAAAAGAAAAAAAGGCTTTTGTAAACAAAATTTTCAATAATAATTCTAAGAGGGCCAGTCTAGCCACACCCACACTGCTGAGAGATCATTGGCTAACTGGTAGCATGGGTGATAGGCAGAGGTGAATGTATGAGAAAGGTGGAGAAGTTGTTAACACCCACTGAGGGGATTGGTATGAGATACCAATGTGAGAGAGGAAGAGTCTGGGAGGATAACTCTCCTCCGACCCTCCCTCAAGGATGAGGGAGAAACCCCCGAAACGGAAAAGGATTAGTCTTCCAAAAATGGGAAGAAGTAATTAATTTTCCTGGCCTAAGGACAAAGAAAATTCCTGTTGGGAATTGAGAATTGTCAAAGAACCCAAACCACATCAGGCCCCGCCCCAGAGTTGGTCGGTGTCCATATAAACAAACGTCTCGAGGCAGCTACAGAGAGTTTTCTGCAGAGAGTTTCGTGGAGTGTCAGACACGGTCGAAGTTACAAAGTCAAAGTGTGGCCTTGCAGATGCTGACCGAAAGATTTCCACGTCCTTTTCAACTTAGTCTTCCTACCAAAAGCAAGTTTTTATTGACGAACGACTTAAGATACCATAACTTGCTTAAGAAATGCAAAAAGTGTCACGAATCCATAGAAACGGGCTGAGAGAGAAACACACTCCTGTATTCAACCGATAGATAAAGATAATTGTTATTTTTCAACATATTTGAACCTCGTGAGTTTGTTTTATTATTTTTCTTTTACTTATGCTTGTGCGGTATCACCTTTACCCCGGAATCAGCTTGCACTATGGCCCAATGCCTGATTGATTTCATCTACCTAAGATCAAAGTCACAACATGGGTAAGTTAGACTTGAGATCAAAGCAGTTACTTCAGTGGCCAAGCATTGGAGGCAAGCTGAGAACAACAAAGCTGGTATCGAACTGGAAACGACCAGATCGACCAGGACACAGGCTGGTGGCAGCGACAAGGAGTCAACCCCAAAACGCTGGTGGAAGAAGCCTTACAGCTTTGTGCCACAACTGGGAGTTGACCATGGGCTGATGGCGCAGTGTCATATATTGATGTCATGACCAGTGGACGTCACATATTGGCGCTGGACTGCAACCACGACCATATACAAAATATATAAATATAAAGATATTAAAGTGAGTTATTTACAGTGCAAGCCACTGTAAATAACTGACTTTAATATATTAATATTGTTAACATCTCAACTAAAAATTTGAAACTATTCTAAAGTTTTTTTTTTATCATTTCACTTTAAGCAAGGTTATAATACCACTAGGATGTGCGGGAGTGAGTTACAGGGGTTAAAAGAGAAGGCTTTAGTGAAGAGAAGTGAGGAAAAGACAAAGGAACAGGGTTCTGGAAGACAGAAGATGGTGCTTGATGTTGTATTTAAATTTTTAAAGATGTTAGGTGACAGGGAAGCAAGAAATTGGGAGGGAGTTTCACAGGTGAGAAGTGTGAGAAAAGAAACTTATAGACTAGCTAGTTCAACTGTAAAACGGTGAGAACTAGTTGTTAATCTAGTAGCATGTTTAAATTCATACTAAGACTAACATTTTTAAAGTAGTAAAAATAAAATTTTTATACTCGATGGTCATTGGAAAATAAAATACCCCCCCCCATTTTTTTTTAAGGCTTGATGTTTTTTTCAAATTATTTTATCATTATCCTTGCAGAATACTCCTAAAGAAGCTCGTGTGGTCAACTTAAATTCTCTGGGAATTGTCCATCTACCTAGAAAACAGGTGAGTTATGAAACCAGTACAGCAACAGCCAAATTTCATGTTGACATTTTGAATTCAAAATTGTCATTTTGAAGATATAAGAAACCAAAAAGAAAGTTACTGAGTCAAAAGTTGGATTCCATGATAAAATAAAAATGCACACATCTTGATTTCTTTTTTAATTAACAATAATTTGATCATAAAACTGATGGTAAATAATTTCCCAAACCTTCAAAGACAACCATTGTGTTGGATATTAGCAGATGTGCTATACAGCCATATCAATGGGGTGGCAGGCCTTTACAGACTTTTGGAGAAGAAAACACCCCAAAAAACTTACAGCTTTTCTCATTGGTTGCTTATGGCATCTCGGGGTGTGGTTGGTCATATGCATGGTAAAACCTACCTTAGAATTTCACTAGCTGATATTTCACAGCTGTCATGTAAGGCCTTTCCCAATCTTTATTCACAAATGCAAGCCATGATTGTGAAGTATTCAATGATGATGAAATGATGCAACAAAGAACCTAAATGAAAAAGTTATTCAATTTTTTTTTTGGTACTTTCTAGTTTGGTTTCAAAACTCCTTGGATGCAAGTCGTTGAACAGGGAGAAGAAATGAAGGAAAAGATAAATCTCATTCGAAGGTAAGTTTTAGTGACTATTGCCAAATTACTTTTCATTAGTTCATTGACTAACCCGCTGTACCCCAGAGTTCTCTAAAAGCACAAATTAAAAAGAACGTTTTTCATAACAGCTGCAAGTGTAAAGAAGCACAAAATGGCATTGCAAGTAACTAGAATTCTGACATCAGTGAAGTGAGTTATAATTTTTATATTTTTTCATGAAGTAAACACAGTCTCCTGTCCCATTGCCAGTCATTTTCACAATGTTCTTGTTAATCTGAGTATGATAGAGGGTGATCCTGTGCAATACTCTTTCCAGCAAATGAAAGCTTGATAAGCAGAAATGACTAGCTCTTCCCATATAGACAGTTATAAACATTCACACAACAATTTCCATTGTACTTTCCCTGGATAAACTATTTATTACAATTCGGCTTGTTTGTTAAGATGGTTAAGTAGCATGAATTAAGGATAATGAATAAGTTTCCAATGTGATTTCCATTTGTATTCCTTATCCTTAAGAGCCTGTCTTACAGTGACAATGCCTTACCAATTAAGCTACAGAAGCTCAATCAGCAGGCATTGTTCAAATAATCTATACAGCTACATTTTACCTCCTTTGATCTCAAGTATGCTACCATATTTCTATCTTATTCATTCATGTAAGGTAGTAGATGTAATAGTCTAAATTTCATAGAAAGCAGTGTTAGTTATTATTATGTATTTTCTTTCATCTTATTATATAAGTTATTGTAACACTTAGATTGTCATTCTACAATTGTTAAGTCATGGATTGGAAATAAAGAATAGGTTTTTGGTGAAATTTGAATTTGTATATGATTTAAAAATAAGTTACAATTTCCAAGAGATTTGAAGACTATTAAATTTTGATATAGCATCATGGTGTAGGGCTACAAAAGGCAATTATCTGAGATAAAGTTATGAAGGTCATGTAGTGTCGAAGGGCATTTGTGATATAAAGCCCAGATAATGAGGACACAGCAGTAAAAACCACATGGCCTCACCAGGTTCTTTTTTCCACACTACTTGCTGTTGTATACATGTGATATAGTTTCTCTGTGTGGGACACTCATAAATATGTATATATAATTTTGTTTATGACTTCTCTCATAGAACAAATCATGTTTGTTATTCCTTTTTTTTTCAGCTATTCTGCTCCATCTGTGAAATGCAGTATTATTATACCATGGATATAATAATGCCCATAATGGGGTAAACAAAATTGGCAGAATAAAAGAATGCTGTAAAATATCATTAGTGGTATTGAATCTTAAGAAATATGTGATTGCAAAGATTCTGTACTAGAGAAAACTTCCAGCTTCCATGAATATTGTTTCCTGATCATCTCTCTTACATACATATACAACAACAGCAACATGTACAAAAGAGAATGAGGTTACTTTTATGTTAATAATAATAATTAATTTGCTTTGTTATTTTTTATGTGCAGTGGTTAAAGGGATATATATATATATATATATATATATATATATATATATATGCCCAACTTTTCACTGACTGTCCAATGACATCCCCATGTTGAATTCACATCAATGTGTAACAAAAACCAGGAAAAGCTCCCTGCATGTTTACAAGGAAATGAAAGATGAAAACTTCTGTTTCCAATATTATGAAATTGGTATTTTCATTCAGGGCTTTGCTTGCTGTTTGGAAAGGTAGGTGACACTTGAGACAATTTCTGCTATATTGGTCTCATAGATCAGCTTTTCCACCCTTACCAACAAACAATACAAATGGGCAACTACGTGAAGAACAGTCTGACTCCCTCAATTGCAGTGGTGATCTAACATAGACCAGCAACTGGATACTCTCTATATCCAGTTTTGTTGTCTCAAAAGTTCACATCCATTCATTTGCTCTTCTGTTCATCTTTGGTCAAAATAGAAGCCACTTAGAACAATTCAAAGACCCCTATTCTCCTACCATACAACACAAACATTTGTAATCGAGATAAAATCACACTTTCATCTTCGTAGTGACACATCATTTGCTGAAATTTTCAGAGAAAAGTAATTGACAGAAATATTGCGACAACTTCTTTAAATTATTGACATTGATTTGGAGTTTTTTATAAATAGATGAGTGATTTTTAAAAAAATAAAGTCTTGTGATTGAATAACATATTTATATACAGAATTTAACCTTTCTTCAAGTTGTAGTGATAGTTAACTAAACAGAAAGAAAAGAGGCAAATGAGTATGTATGTGTAGACATGACCTTTTTGTGTATGTACATGTGCAAAGTTGCAATGAAAGATTGTAAGAGAGATTTACATTTTCGGAAGAATTCTTTGTTGGTTTGGTAGAATTATTAGATACTAGAATTTTTTCTTGCAACAAGCTAATGTGTGTTGAAATTCTAACAGTATTTAGTATTGTTAAAGTTATCACTTCCTCTGCCCATTTGAAACTCTCCATACTGTGTTTATATTTACAGTGTGCATTACTGTGCATTATATTTTACCAGAATTAAATATATAGAAAAGATATGCAAAAAACAATATTGCATTTTTATTAAATAAATATTCATTTTAATCATGAAATTATTTTTAAAATAGTGGGAGTATTTTGTATGGTAAATATTGAAACTTTTAATTTTTCCAAAACAATTATTGAAAATTTATTGTACTAACCTATGCACCCTAGTAAAACCAACCGTTCTTTGTACCCCATTACCTGTAAACTTAGAAAGTATAAAGCATACAAATATCTTATATTGTGTTCAGTGTGACATGGGGTTTGCTGATGACTGAAAGGCCCCTGTCCAAAGGGAAATCTGACACATCCAATCTCTAAGGCATCCTGTGACTAAAAGGAAAAAAAAATATATATATAGAGAGAGATACTTTTGTGCCTTTTTTTTATATATATTATTTTTGCAATGCCATAGCAGAAGTTCTTTGACAGACAAGTGGGGTAATTGCTATTTTAATGCTGAAGAATTAGAATACAGATTTATTATTTTTCTTTTTCTCTTTGTTATTCCAGACATGAAAAAATGAAAGCGTTTTACAGAAAATATACACAAAAAGGCAACAATATGTACCAGGCAATGTTTGCTACTCAGGTAAAAAAATATATATATCAGTAGAAATACATACAATATTTACACTAAACATAATACTTTATATATCAAATATAATCTAATCTGCCTGAGCCACACTTGCTCTACCTTATACCTTTTAGGAATCAGGATGATCCCGGGATTAAAAATCTGCCCTTCATCTGGTGCTTGAACATACATTGGGATTTGTGTGCAGATGAGCAAGGAATAATTAAAAATTCAAATTTTAAAATTACTGGAAAAAATTAGTGATTTTAAAAGTTTTTAATTTATATTGAGTTTAAAATAACTCTGTGATTTTAAAATTTTTTGTTTTAATGAATTTAAAGCAAAAATTTTAAAAATATTTCCAAAACTTTGTGAATTGAGGAAATCAATTTTTATTATACAAAGTTTGTTATTTGAAGAACTCAATTTTCAGCTGAAATTTGACTTTTGTCCCAAATCGATCTTTTGGCTGGAATTGGTCTTAAAGCCTGAATTTAATTTTATGTATTGTTATTATTATTATTAATATTGCTCTATCTCTCTATATATCAAGCACTCTATTTAAAAAGCCTGCTTGACTTGAAAACATTGTCTTCCAGAAATATTCTGGTTGACAGTTTTTGGAGAAATGCACTCTTTATTGTTATATATCAAAATACAGGATGCGATGGATAAATTGTCGTCTAAATGATGCATATGCACACACACAAAAAAAAAAAAAAAAAAACCCCAAAAAATGAAAATAACACTGACATTGCATTTTAACAGATGTATTTATCAAAATTACACAAAAATATCTCAAAATACTAAAGATCAAATTTATTCAATAAAATCACCATTGGCCTCGAGACGACTTTGTAACTCTTCTGGATGGTTTCCTTGTTGGTGAATGTTCCCCTAATCCTTGTCTTCAGTTCATCTTTGGTGTTACAAGGAGTTTTGTTAGTCTCTCGCTGAATTGCAACCCCCTTGATAATAATCAAGGGGGTTGCAAGAAACAAGGGGAGTTAGGTGGGGGCCAGATGTAAGGGATGATGTGGTCCCAGAAATTGTTGGACAGTCATGACTGGGTTTTCTTGTTTGTGTGGCATGGTGCAGCAGCCACCCTCTTGACACAGGGAAGCACTACTTCATCAAGGCATTGATGTAGGTCTTTGTGTTGTGTTTGAGGCATGGTGGGAAGATGAATGGAGGTATAACGGCATCACCAATCATTCCAAACATGATGATGTTAACTGGATATATCATTCAGCTCTATTTGAATCCTCTGCACTGACCTCAGATTGACACCCAAACACTCTGAAATCCTTGTTTTTGAGCTTCTGGTGCAATGCCAAGCAGTACACCATGATGGTTTCTAAATTGCTGGTGGAGTGAATTACATCTGTTAAAATGAGATGTCAGTTATTTTCATTTTTGCATAATTTAGAGGATACTTTTTCTCACAGACAGTGTCCAACTGACCCTACAACAAAATAAAAAAAAAAAAAACAATACACATATGTAAAATTGAAAATATAAATGGCGACAATTTATCCATCACACCCTAAAACTAAAAACTCTCTCTTGGATTTCTTTCCATGAAGTAAAATAAAACTTGGAAATAAAATATATCCTTTAGTTAAATCTAATAGTAATATATTCTAATATATTCAGTCACAACCAAAAGGTTTTATATTAAGATGACTTTAAAAGACAGGTGACATAGTGCAAATCCTGTGCTCAATGAAATCCTGATGGGACATATATAAAGTGAACATGAAAAAAATATGAGAAATGGATGATTCACTGAGAATTCATCTGTCCTTGCCTTCAGAATGGAGTACTATTACAAAACTTTCAATGACCATAGAACCACAGCACCAGATATACCAAGTCGTTAGCATACATCGATTATGGTTAACAGACTCCAATCATGAGGAGTTTGGCATTGACTTATTCTTGTATATCTGTATAGGTTTCCTATGGATGATAGTATTCCTGACAGTATGACACAGTGGTTGGACTTTCTTTTGAAGATGTTATGTATCTGTCTTCAGAATTGAATTCCAATGTGGGACTGTGGTAACTAGCTTTCCCAGCATTCTGGCTTGAATGATGATCACAAAGAAAATCACACTGTTGTCAACTAAACTACAGGTTTATTATGATGATATATGATATCTAGATGAGTAAGTAACATTTGAAAGAGACAGAAGAGCAACTTGAAGCAGTGATATTACTTTGTTACTATATAATAATCTTATGTAGAATTGTATAGAAAGAAGTTTTTGTGTAGGTTTTATTAAAAGCTCTTTGTGTGTGGATTTTGATTAGAATCAAACAAGAACTAGAAAGAAACTAATCAAAGCTTTTTTTTTTGCTGTGTAGTTTTATTAAGAATCCAGCTGTTTCTATCAACAAGGGGTCAGTGACCCCTTGTTGGCAACAATAATTCACCCAACAACTCAGCCAAGACCAGTCTGAAATGCTGGTTATCACTTTAGCAATGAAATAACAATGTGCAGAATGAGAGGAACCCAGATAAGATTTTTCAAAACAATTACAACTGGGTAAATTTTGGGAATGCACAAACCAGTCATCAACTTGTCTCTTTCCATGTGTGTAAGCCTAGGAGCCTCTAAGTTTTCTTGCTTTTTGGTTAAGTTGTTCCAGGCTCCAATCCTGTCAGAGCCTCATTCATCTCATTTTATAGGTTTAAATCCATATTTTTACCATGTTTTTGTTCTCAATATATCAAAGGCACTTATCTTCCAAGTTTTTCTGTCTCCCATTCTCAACTTGATCCTGCCTCACATCATCATCCAGCCTAAATAAATACTGATCCTGTGAATTCGTTATACTGCAACCCATATTATCAAAAGCAGTCTGATTTGTAAAAAAGAGGCCTTGTCCTTTGTTTGACCTCCCCTGTCACACACACACACACTCCATTATAGGTTTCAAGAAAACCAGAATTCTCAACTATAGAACAGTAAACAGCATTGGAAACTCAACAATTGGCACAAAGCAATGGCCATTGTAGACATTCTACTTATTGTTATATTGGTTCATAACAAATGTTTGATAAAATATAAACTGAGCATGGATTTCTTTACAATTGAAAGAAAATAAGTGGTTGTTTTGAATCACAAATTTTCAAACACTATAACTTGGCTTAAACACAGCTTTATTAATCAAAGTAAGCACCAAGTAATATTGGCAACATTGGAATGATTAGAATTGTCACAATGTTGCCAATTATCTGGCAAGGAATTTATTCTCTTGCAATAAGAACTGGGGTCATGGGAATTGACAAATTACTAGAATGTATTTTTTTGACTTGGTCCATGTTGGCACCTATCATAATCAACTGTGAAGAAAAGGAGTGCCAACTTCAAAAGTTATATTATTTCAACATTCAGACATTTTGACACCCACTTGGCTGAAAGTATTAAGCATCTTTCAACTTCAATCAAATTGTAACTCCAATACGCATTTCCTTGAGATCTCTAGTGTTTTAGTAAATTTACATCATGAAATTGTTGATCATATTCAGGATGTAAATTTACTGAAATGTTGAAATATAAAGTTGATTTTGCAGCATTTTCAGCAGTCTAGTGACAATTTGTATGAGGAACAACTTGTCACTGCAGATGAAAAATAGGACAGTGCAGCATCTGCTCATAGAACTGACACCAAAAAAAAAAAGGTTGGGAAGAATGCTTAAACCATTCACCCTCACCTGATGTTACTCCATCTATTTCCAAACTTTAAAAGGAGTTTGGAAAAGAGGAACATTTCAAATAATTCACAGGTGCTAGCAACAGCACAATATTTCAATGAACATTTTTTTTGAAGGACTAAAGAAACTTGTGAAATGATCTGCTGCATTGACCTTTAGTGGCTTTTCCTACCCTTTTTATATATGATAAAAGGTGAGAAAAGCCACAAGGTGCAAGGGGTTATGGAGAGTGAAAGAAACAAAGAGGAGAGTACAAGAACAGGATTCAAGGAGACAGAAGATGACAATTGCAGTTTTATTTAAATTTTTCATAGTTGACAGGAAAGCAAGAAGCCAGAAGAAAGTTCCACAAGTGAGAAGTGTACAAGAAGGAACGGTTAGCATAGAACTTATGGCTTCAATTAACAATTTCAATAATGAAATTATTAGACCAATCTGCTAATCTGGTACTGTAAAGTTGAAAGACCAAAAAGGAAAGTTCACCTGAAAAATTACCATAAAAATATTTATAGGGAAGCTACCTTGTGATAAGCCAAGATTCCAGGCCAGATGTGGCAGCAATAGCCAATGAATAGCAGACTTATAAATGTACAAGATTTTAACAAGAAAAATTGTCTAGCACAATTTAGTGAGAAGACTAGCATGCATGTCCCAAGGGCTCTAGGTCCTTTTTTTCTTAGTCAGTCCCAAGAACTTTTCAGCAACTCTTTTAATGCTGGCTTCTGTGTAAATAAAATTTAATTTTTATTTATCTATTTTTTTGCTTAATCTCCTATTAGCTGGAGTGAAGGATGGATTCAACCAACATTTCACCCTAGGCCTACAACTAATCTGGCCCAATTGCCTGGGTCTTGGTTATTTACAAAATCTGATGAATACAGATTTTATAAGTACAAGAGCTGACTACTAGAGACTTTAGGTTTTGACTGAAACTTAAACCAAGTGAATAAGGAGCTGATGAATTAAGCAAACAAAATATATGATCAATAGGTTTTATTAAACATGTAATTAAGAAATATTTTACAAGCTATTGGGTTGTAAATGACCAGGTTCAAAGGTCTTGTTTTTTAAAAGAACCCACGTTATATTGTTTAGCACAGTGTTAATATCTTGGATAAAATGGATTTTTAAATAGCAAGACCCATTGTAAGCAGTAGAAGCCTAGATAACCACTTATGGATTCTATCAGAAAAGTCAAAAAACTTTTTTCTTTTTTAATTTAGGCACAAAAATTCCTGAATGAATACGGAATGAAAAGTCCTGTGAAAGCAACCAAAATGAAAGTCTTTCCAAGTGGAACTGCTTCCAGAGAGAGAATTCCTTGTATCTGGTCTCCAGTTCCTTCTTTGCACCAAGTGGAAAAAATACGGCAACAAGCTTACCCCATTGTGTTGCAATGGCAAAAGAAAATGAATGCCCAATACAAAAATGATCTTTTTCACATTTACCAGCCTTATGCCTTAGACAGTCCTGTTCATTTCGGTGTTTAATAAGCAAATTTCATGTCAAAATAAAAATAATTTAGTCAAATCCTCAGAGCACAATCTTTTCACATTCAAGCATAACAAAACAAACATCAAAGCAAAAATTTGCACTTTTATTAGTGATCAATAGTTTAATTTAGATAAGAGATGAATGCAGCTCATTAAAGCAAAGTGTTTGACTGACAATTATCAGTATACAAAAGCATATCAATTTTATGACCTTAACTGATTCATTTGAACCCTGATTTAAGTCAATAAGTTAGAGGAGGTACAAGGGAGATAACTCTTATTTCAATCTTTGAATACAATGAATTTTTTTATCATGCAGCTTGGGACCATTTAACTGATATGATTTAGTTTCCTTCTTTCCAACCTATCGACATTAATTTTAGAGATTAATGCTTTTTCAAAAAAAAAAAAAAAAATATAAAAAAAATATCAAATTTGTTGATTTGTCAAAACTGAATTAGAGAAGAAACTTGCTTAAATTTTCCTTCATTTTTTTGCTTTATTATTTTCTAATGAAGACATTACATGTGCAACATTAGGCTTTTTTGAGTCTTTATTTCTAATTACCTGGTGTCACAAAAAAAAAACTTAGGTGAGTTGACAGATAAAGTTTACTTTTAAACTGTTTTAGGTCCTTTTTATTGATAATTCTGTTTAATGGTTGGAAATTTTAAAATTTATCAACAATCCTTTTTGATGAGAGTTGATCAAAGAGCTGACCACTTATCAAGAATTTTTCCCCATATTTCTTTTGCCAATTAATTTCAACAAAATCTGCTTCAAGCTATATTTAAATTCTGTACCATTAAGAAATTGTTTATTAATTATTATGCAGTAAAAATAAAGAAATTTGAATTCATTTCCTTTTATCTAAGAAGAAACGAAGAAATGAGAGTTCAATTCTGGTCAGGAGCTTTAATCTTTATTTACAATTCATGAGGCAAAAGAAAAAAAAAACTATTAAAATATGAAACTTTGTCATTATTCCTCTAAGAGATTCTGAAAAGACTTCAGTTGTAAACAAGAATAAAAAAAAAAATATAAATTTTTCCCTGCATTAAATGATTTCTAATCTATTTTTTCATTTCAGTGAGATTTTTCTTGTTTAATTATAGTTAATTTTATATATCACATTTAAGTTTAAGAATATATATATATTGCACCAAATGTGCTGGTATTATGATGAGGAGGTCGTCCAGCTTCAGGGCCTAGATTAGTAGTCTTAGAAATATCCTTGTAAACCATGAATCTTACTTGCCAACAAACACAAGAAATCCTAAGGTTAATAATAATAATAATAATAATCATCAACTGGGATTCATTTTTATTTTCTACAATAATGAAAAGCCCCAAAATGTAAAAATGTTTGTAAATATTTTTGAAGTGCTATGATTTTTGAATATTGGGACATACACATACACACCAGGATTGTTTAAATAAATATACAACAAAGTTTTTCACTTTTTTAAAACTTTATTTTCATTATTTATCTCTATTAATCAGTAATAAATTAACTGTAGTGATAAAAACCCAACAAGTGATGACTCTAGAGAGAAAAAAAAACACAGATATTGAATTAACAACATCTAAAGCTTACTTTTAGAAATGATAGCATTTCAATGGAATTAATGGTTTTAAATTTAAACCCCCATCGTTAGAAAAAAAAAAAATCTATTCAGTCAAAATTTGTTAAAATGTTTAAATATATATTTTTTTCATATTTTAAATTTGGAATATATCCACATTTTTTCCAACAAAAACAATTTTTTTTTTTTTTTATTTATAAAGGTTTTATCTTTTTTTTAACAATGACTTGGTGAAGAGTCGTTCATATCACAATAATACTATTTACATCAAATAATGGCTACATAAAACATACAAATGGGTCAACAAGTACAGAATTCAGAAACTGGATAAACATTTTGAAAGTGAAAAATGTTCAAACATAAGCAAAACAATTTGTGTAAAGAAAGATTTGGGTGGTGGGAGGGGGGGAATAATCATTGGATGAAAAATTTGCATATTTTTTCATACCTGATTTAAGAACAGACAAGCCAAATGCTGTAGTGTTTTTTTTTGTTGCTAGAGGAAAAGGCAAATGAGAGAAGGTGTTGATGTTAGGTAGACTGCCGCACCAAGATTAGCATTAATGCTGGTTGGGAGAAAGGAAAAGATGATCTTTGAGAGTAATAGTTGCAAAGAACACAGATTTTTTTATTAATAAAGTTTATTTTACTTCTTTCAGCTTGATTTAATTTGCTTTCAACATTAGTTTGGAAATGTGAAAAACTGCAGAAGAGTAAATGATTCAAGGGGGGGAGGAAACGTCTAGCAAGACACACTTGAGTGAAAGAAGTTTGAAGACGTTACTTTTACAAAGAACCCATTCTTTCAAGCCCAACCAAAGCACAACATGATACAGTGTTGAGATTGGATCAGCAATTGTGTTGAGCAAAGAACAGTAATACAATGATTGTATTGACATCTACCTCAGTGATAACTTGTAGCAATTGTATTAGAATCAGCTCAATGACAGTGGTTCAAGCAGACAACTGTATTGAGCTTCAGTCTGTGACGGTGGCTCAAGCGACAGTGCTGAACCACAGATCAACTATTTAGGCACAATAACTGCATTATTAAACTTCACATTTTGTCCACCAAGTGTACAACTGAAGAACAATTATCTTAACTCAACACTTGTTTGAAGTCCATCAAAGTGATATGTATTAACACTGTTGATATTTGTCAGGGTTGAAACTCTTTACCTGACAAAACCTGGTAAGCACCGGATTCTGGTTTGGCTGCTCAAGTCTCCAGCTTTTATTTTTTATTTTATTTTTTTTTTTTTTACATTAAACAGGTTGATTGCCAAAAAGAAAATCTAGACAAGATTCTGACAAATTACTCGGACCTTAAGCAGGAAGATAAAAGAAATTTATATCTTAAATAGAAAAAGCAAGTTACTGAACACTACTGAATGAGATATTTTTTTAAAAAGTAAAAAAATCATTTCTAAAAATTTTTTTTAAAAAAAAATCAACAGGATTTTTTTTACAAGTAAAGCCTTTCATTTTGTTGAATAAGTTGAAATACAATAGAAATTAAGTTTAAATGTGAATATCTTTCACTTTTTGCCTTATCTTTTTTAAGATAAAAAAACAATCATTTATTAGCTTTAAGCAATTTTAATGAAACATTTAAGACTTTTTGTTTCTAAAATTTTAACAAATATTATTTAAGTATGCAGTGTGACTATTGACAGTAACTAAGTCAGAATGTTGTTGGTGTTTTTCTCTTGACTAAGTTGGATTTACAATGTTGATAGCCACAAGAACAAATAGGACACAATAAATTCCTATGATGAGAGCAGTAATAAGAGTTTACAAGATAACAATAGATTTTAGTGTTACTCTGAAAAAAAGAGGCTGCCCTGTTTGTAATTCACCACAAACATTGCAAATGCCAGTGTTAACGTCTATACGTGTCCATTTGTTGACTACTTCTACAATGATAGACATGCAAAGAAGAAGAAGAAGAAAAGGAAAAAAAGAATGAGAAGAAGAAATCTCAGGATTATTTTTGGTTTCTTTAAATTCCTTCTCCCAGCTGGAAACAAGTCACTAGGAATGATGGGGGCAGATGTTAACATCAAAGGCTTTCAAGATGAGGAAAGTTTTGAGCTGAAAATAAAAACAAAAAAACAAGAGGATAGGATAGATAGATAGATAAATAAATAAATAAATAAATGAAACAGATTTTGATAAAAAAAAAAAAAAAAAAAAAAAAACAATTTGAACAATCTATACTTTTCTTTTGGGAAGAAAAAAAGAAACGGAATGATTTCAGTTGGAGTCAATCAAACAAATTCAGGTCATGCTGTTAGTAACAACTTCTTTGCTATGGGACTGAGTGAAAATAGGTGTCATCAGAATATGATGGAAATTTATGAGACTTGGATTGAGATGTGTAGAAAAAAAAAAAAAAAAAAAAACGAAAAAAAAAACAACAAAACAAAACAAAAAACAGAAAAAACACCCTATCTTCATAATAGTATGAGTTATGAAATAGAAATTAAGTTTTCTGTCCACATCTACATGCTTAAATAAATACAATGTTTCTTACCAATATTGAAAATTTAATACAATGGAACAATCCTCAGATATGGGGTAGCTGAGCTTAAAAGCAAGCTTCAACTATGGGGCTGCTGGAAAAGTTAAGCCTTAGCTACTGGGGGGAAAACTGAGCAAGCCTCAGCCACTTTTGGGGGAGGGGAGACTGAGCAAACCTCAGCCACTAGGGGGATGCTGAACAAGCAAGCCTCAGCCATTTGGGGGGGGCTGAGCAAGCCTCAGCTGAGAGATGTTGACTGATGCAGAAGCCATCACATATTAGTAAATCTCTAAAAATTGTAAATTGCTCTAATAGGAACAATTAGGCTGATGACCTTAGTAGTTGCTTTTCATAATTCAATTGATGAGTTTTGATCAACTTATAAGTGCATCTTCTTGCATGCTTTCACAACTGTACCAAAGAATTGTACCAAACAAGGCCATCCACTTATTTTAAAGCTAGAGAACTATGTAATGAAAGGGAGATATGTTGGCATCTGCCTTGGCACCTGGTCAAACATTTCCTTAGTGTACTAGTCATTACTGATTTACTGATTAAGAAATCATGATGAAAATAATATAAATTAGTTATAGAAGAATTGAAACTGGATGCAACGTCTGTTTTTTTGATGTCAAGTAATTCTCAGTAATAAGTTCTAAATTATTATTCCTGGGAGAGGAGGCAAAAAGAGATCAGTACAAAAGTGATTTTCACTCATGGCTTCCACATGACTTACAAATCCCCAGGTAAATATAAATAATTGTAACTAGGAATATTTAACATGTTAAATATACAAATAGAGTGAAAGAATAGATAAAATAAATTCTAAATAGTGGAATCTTACCCAAATTAATTAGGGGTTGCTGATCTTTCGTAGGTCTCGCAGAAGACCTTCAGGAGTTAAAATGTGAGTAGAACCTGAAAAACAAAATAAAAAAATTAGAAACAATTTTTCTCTTTGGATGTAAGACCAGATGAGAAAGGGAGAACTGAAAAAAACCTGGAAAATTATGGTACTGTAATAAAATCAAAATAGTGACAAAGCAAAAAGAGAAATTGTTGAATAGCCACAATGTTTCATTGTAACATCGAAAACGTTTCATTGTAACATCGAAAACATCTCATTAAACCATTGTGAGTAAAGTTTTTATTATGAGTGTGGTATAATAATGAGCTTATATTACAGTTAGACCATCATTAATGGTGTAACATGTTACACCATTAATGATGGTACCAGATAAATGATTTTAAAAGATTACTGATTGTCAGTATGCCATAAATTGTAGATGAGCCAATGTGGTATAAATCATATTAGCCTCACATGGACCAACTGCTGTCAAGTGCTTATATTATAAAACTTCCACAACATTATTTGAAATGATTAATTATTAGGAGGTTGTGATATCTGTACTTTCATTTGCTGATATTTACATATCTACTATTTGTGCTTTTCTGATTAAAAGATTAAATAAAAGAATAAAAGTCATAAAGTAAACTCACCAAGAATAACCTCCCAATTGTTCTTGGCAGTCTGTGTGACCTCATAGCCACTTCGCATCTCTGAATAAGAGATGCCACCAACAACAAAGATGATCAGACGGGGTCCACTTTTGTAGCTTGCTTGACCCTTGTCTTTGTGCCAGTGGCCATAACGAACACTGCAGATAGAAAAAAAAATTTCAATTAATCAGAGAAAAATTCTTGTGAAAACTTAAAAGTCAATGTTGTATGAGGAAAAAAGATGTTAAAACTTTTATAATTTTAAAACAAAAGATTACAAAACAAAAGTTGTTTTCTTTTTACTTACATTTAAGGGTTAGTCAAAAAGAAATGCCTGTTCTTTAATGGTAGAAATATACAAAGCATGACAAAAATGAAGACAAAATCCTCAGGATTCCAAATCTAATTCTCAACATTTTTCTTTTTCAATTCTGCCTTGTAGAAGTTTCTGGTTTGCTTTCATAATCATGTTTGGGGGGGGGGTACATCTCTTACCATATGTATCATCACTGAAGAACTGCTGTTCTTTGATCTGTATGGGTACATGAATGAGGCACTCAAAGTCAGAGGGTGCCAATTCATGACTGTATGGTCAATGAGAATGTTGTATAGCCATGGGCTGCTATTGATTGTCTTGTGGGGTCATGTTGTAAAAGCATATCACTTATCTTCAATTGTAGCCTTACTCTGAATTTTGATATTGTCCTAACATAGAACTCAGAATTGCCATTAAGTCTGACATCTGTTCCCAAAATACAAATGGTAATCACTTTCTTTGAAGAGAGTGTGTTGCCTTAAACTGAAAAGTGTTACTCTATTTACATTATTTACATTGTTCAGACTGTTGTCTTCATCTTTATTGCCATATTCACAATGTTTTGGATGTTGTATGCTCCAGCCTTCTTGACTTGACCCAAAGAGTTGCGATTTCAATACCTGGCTATGGCAGTGGTGAACAAAATCTTGGAGAGTTGAGTTAAAGGGAGATAACCGAGACATCCGGAAGGGGCATGGCACGTGGAACTAGAACAATCTACCCTGGTGGATGAAATAAAGGGTTCAGTTCAAAATTCCAATCACCTGAGAAGGGTTGGAGCATACAATGGCTGAAACATTGTGAATATGGCAGTAAAGATGAGGACAACAGTCATGTAAATTATTACAATACCTCATCTCAGAAATATATAGAGATATCCATTTTCTTTAGCTATCTGCTTCATACAGAGTGACTGCAAAATCTCTTGAGCCACAATCACCTTTTACATGGAGTGTCTACATTCTGGGAACCCACTTTGCACAACATACTTTTGATGAGCCAAGAGACTATAATAAACTGCAGGCACTACCATTGACCTTACCTTCATTGACAGCAGCAGAACTAAGGCCAATTTCAACTTTCTTTCTCTGACTCTTAATAACTTTACTAACCAATCTAACAGTACTTATATTTCCATAACATTCACTAACCTCCTGCAAATGGTTTCAGTACTTTTTCTTTCGAGAAACAAATTCTATGACAGTTCTTTACTTTATAAGTATGTCCAGAGGGGCAGTATATTGAAAAAAGGTTATTAGGTAAGAAAAATAGAAGGTCACTCCACAAATTTTTTCCCTGAGCTTTTAAACACTTTATGGTTTATAGCTAAAAATATTCTAAATATTCTGATTAAAACATTTAAAATTAAATTAGAAAAGACATTACTTCTTGACTGACCCTCATACACACACAACCATCATCAATTATGGTTAGTCCACTGCAGGAGAAAGGCCTTTACCAAATCTTTCCATGATGTCAATGACTGAGCTTTATCTTACCAACAAACTCCTCTATCTCATCTTTTCCTATTGTATATGCTGTTCCAATGGGTATCAATCAATCAACCTTTAACTCCAACGATTACAATTTCTTCTTGCTGTGTGTCCTGCCCATCTTCCATTGTTATTGTCTAATCACTCCTATGATTAATGATCTTATTTTGGTCTCTTCTTCCACCAATATTGATATTTTTTGATTTCTTTAAGTTATCCAAAGGATTGCTCTTTCCCCCGTTATCTTTGGGCAGTTTTCAGTTTGGTTAATTTCTGCTGCTGCTATATAGTTGGCAATATAAATTCATTATACACTTGCATATTGGTAAAAAGCATATCGGTAAAGTATTTTTCACTATATTTCCAGTTTCATTAAATGCTTTCCAATTTTTGTCTGTGTTTTCAATCTGAGTAAATTCTATTTGTTTTCAGCAACATGTAAAAATTCATCCCCCTAAAAAGTTTTCTTCCTCTTATTTTTATTATCACAATATTTGCTGCATCTTCCTTGATTCTGTCTCGATACTTTAGCTCTGTTCCACTTCAGCACAAATCTCTGTAACTAGTGTGACTCGTAAGGTTTTCATTTTCTCTCTATGCTAACTACTCTTACCGATCAAGAAAAGTGTCTCTTGATTTCTCCCGTTGGCTTACAGCTGCACCAAATTCTATGTCACTACATGTCTCGTAGCTTAACTCAATGATTAAAGACTTTTCAAAACTCTTCATGCTCAGGTTTCAATTCACCAAGATGAGATCAAACAAGTGGGTGCTAATGGATCTCTGCAGTAACATGAATTATGATCAGTGGTAAGCAATCCATCAGTCGCTCCAGAAATTACTAGCAATGGGTGGTTTCAATTAGCCACTAACTCCTTAAAACTTCACTAGTTTACACTACAAAAAAATGTCAAAATAGTGAAATATCCTTTAAGTTGAACTGCTGATATCTTGTTTATTCTCAATGCTATTTTGATAAAATTAGTATGTAAACAAAATTTAATCTTTTCTCTTTATAATGATACAATTATTTCTCAAAATTTTCCAAAATTAAATAGACCTATGACGTATTACAGAGAAAAGAGCTGTTTTGTTGAATTCCTCATCCAAAAATATAAAAGTTTCAGACATGTCCCTCCAATGGTTAAATATAATAATTATTGATTACATTAATATTAATTTTTAATCTACTTCAAGATTACCTATATGATATTACATTTATAATGATTCTTCACTTGTATATTCAGTTATGCAATGTTAAATTTGGCTTTTGGACCAATAGCAAAACAGAAAATTTGAATGGCCATAACTTGGTTGCTAATTGAGCTACCAAGATAGATTTGGTATGATTTAATGCTTTGTCCAGCTCTCTATGCCTATATTAAAAGTTTTGATATATTGGAAATAAAATTTTAGTTTGGAGTATGTATTTTAAAGTTGAAACTGAATATAAATTCACACACACGGTTCTAAACCTTTAAAATTAAAATACTAAAAATAATGTTTAAACCAAGATCAATAAAAACAATGCTTCAAACAAGTTTGATTAATACTTTATTAAGACATATAAAATAAATGTTAATTTTTTTTTTTTTTTTTTAAAAAAGAATTAATTTTAAATGAAAAGAAATTGTTTACCTTTATGATTCTCAACAAGCAATTACAATTTAAGTTTCTTTTGGAAACATTATTTCTTTAAAAAGCCCTGATTAAAATTACAACAATGAAGTAATAAATTTTTTCCTTTAATTTTTTTTTTTGTCTGTAAGTTTGTTTACATAACTTATTTTCCTGTCACAATTTTTTTCTACTTGCTTACAGAAGCACATAAGTGCTAAAATCAGAAGAAATATTTAGCATATGAACAGTCAGTATGAATTATTATTTAATAAACTTTTTTTTATATGTTTATTTTATTAAATTAACAATAAACTACAACACAAAACGATACATTAATTTTACCAAAATATTAATAACTCATACACAATAACAGCAAAAAATTCAATTTAGAATATTGGCATTAAAGATTCTAAAAATAAAATTTATTTAAAAAAAAAAAAAAAAAAAAAAAAAAAAAAAAAAGAAATATGTTTTATTAAATTAAAAAAAAACATGTAGGCAATATAGCTTTGCTACAGTTCTAAAAAATAAAAAAATAATTCTATTTAAAATAAATGTATTCATCAGGCAGAAAGTCTACAGCAGTTGAGAAAGTAAATCAGCAAAACTAGTTTGGTATTCGAGAATCGGATTTTGTGTTTCAAGATTCTGATACATTTAAAGATTTAACTACACTTACTCTCATTTTTATTTCAAAGTTTAAACATTTTTGGGAAGAGGATGTATATTCCATGACAGACATGTTGTTCAATTGAACAAAATAATGAAGAATATATGAAAAGCCATATTTATTTCAGAATTATGATTTCTTGATTCCACTACCACAGAAAATTGTTCTCCTAACATAATGCTATGATCATTGTGTTGATTGTTGGTTGTTTAATAGAACATCAACCTCTAGAGATTAAAATGTAAATATTTTGTATGCAATTTTTTTTTATAAGTAATAATGGTTTAGTGATTCAAGTTTTATTAATTAACCAATAGCTGTGAACAAGAGGTGAATTCATATCTTTCTCAAGAGTATTTGCACATAAGTGAATATAATGAACCCAGCTGGAATTGGAACTCGGCTCTCTGATTAACAATTCCAAGCCATTATTCGTTACACCACCTGCACATCCAAGCTTACAACACCTACTATTCCCAAACGGTCACCCATCTAGTTACTCAACATGCTCAATGTTTCTTAACTTGTGATCATGTGGGAACCAGTAATTCAATTTTATGTGGTTGTAAACATAAACATTGTGTGTGTGTGTGTGTGTGTGCGTGCACATTTAAAATTTTTGATTGGAATAGTTAAAGTCTTTGATATTGATTTAATGAGATATAGTCTTAAAAAAAAAAAAAAAAATTCTTTGAAAAATTAAATATAAAAAGTAAAAAGATATTTTTGGGGATTAACATTGCACATTCTGTAATTGCTTTTGCCTTCTTAAAATAATTTGAATTGATTGCTTAACAAGCAATCAATTCTGTTGTATAATAATCATACATTAAAACAAATAAAAAGAAGTATTAGAAAGAAAAAAAGCTAGCATGAAGGAATATGGAAATCAAAAGCTACCTGATTGGTTGTTGGCAACTGGGTCGTGGTCCTCCACCATTTAAGAATGGAAACTGTCTCATGTCCAGTTTGTCTTCAACAGCAGACTGAAAAATTTAACAGCAATAAATTAATTCACTTTCAATTGTTAGATTTTTTTTTATAAAATCAGATGAGAAAATATAACATGGAAGAGAAGCTATTTTGTTACCAATTCAAAAAAGTATTACCCTTAAATTTGTAAGGAAAAGAAGACATTTTTCTATAAGTGTTGTTGAAGAAATATTACTATTTCAAAATAATTTATTCAGAATACACCAAGTCCTGGTGAACATTTTAATTATTACCAGTTCAACAGTTTAATTACAAATTCTATGCTGTTTGTAAACAGGTAAACTGGTAGATCTCATGTATTCATTTCTTGTGATGTTAATGTGTGTGTGAGTGAATTCTAGTGAGTGTTTTTTTTTTTTATGACTGTCCCATACTATCTGCGAAGTGTATCTATTTTCTGAAGAAATGGGAAAATATGTGTGCATCAAATCAGGCATACAGTAGTTGCCGATTATGCATGTGCTAAATATGGATTAAAATTACATTATTAATTTTGGAGTAAATATTTTTTTATATTGAAAAGAAATCGTGTTTGTTGGAAAATGTTTGGTGTGTAGTGAGGATGGATATAATTATGGTTGTTGAATTGAATTTCATTATTATTGTTTTCCCTTTGTTTTATGTTTTACGAGTTGTCCCCAAGTCTCAAACAGAGACTTCAATAGATAGGATTTTTTTATTAGAAGATAAAAACAGATGACATACCATGCAAATGGGAAGAAAAATAAAAGAATATAATTATGGTCACTGAGTGGAGAGAGAAATCTATCCAAGATGTGAGATGTACAGATGAGTATGATTTTTTTTTTTTTTTCAATTCATATATTTTAGGACTACCAGGAATTTATTCCACATATTTGATATAATTCCCAAAATCCCAACAACAAAAGGTCATTTGTTTTTGTTTTGTCTTTTGATGCCTCATTCTACTGATTTCCATCTCAAGGTCCTTGTCTTTGTTTCCCAAACATTTTCAAAAGATGTGTTTTTGTCAGCTACGATGCCAGTTATCTATCAGAAAATAGACGTGTGTAACAATTATGTTTGCTTGATTTACTTGGAGTTTCCTATTTGTCTGAATGCTAAAATTCCAGAAGATGGAAACTTCTTCCTTCTGTACAATTTGTGGTGATTTATGTTCTTACCAATTCTCTTTGTAAGAAAACTTGAATATACAATTGACCAATTTATGTACTGAGCAGCCCTATCATGTCATTGTAAGTACTCTGTTAGCACCAGTTGGCCACACCCAGACATTATGTGATCAATCGTCTCTGTGGCAGGTTGTGCTGCTCCTAATAATTCAGGACATTATATTTTTACTTCCTGATTGGAAGGCACTGATCCTAGGCAGCAATTATGGATCCTTCAGCTTGCTAGCTAATGGATTTTTTTTGCAAAACAGAATTTTGGAAATAAATGTGTAAAATTAGGTTATGTCAGCAAGTGCCTGGATCTTATATTCTTTAAGACATTTACTAATATTGAAAAAGTGTGTTTAGAAGGGATATTAATTAATATCCTTCCATCAATATTTTTTTTTATAATGAGATGTATTTGTTAACAACACACTGATTCTATTAGCAGCCACTGCACACCAAATTCTTCCCACTACCATCTTCAGGAATTAGATGCACATAGACACTAAAAGACAAACATCTATTAGAAGTCACATACACATGCCAGAATTTGAAATACCAAAACATTCTTTATATTCCTCACTTCAAAAAACATTTCTAATGAAGCTATAATAAAAGAAAAATGTGTCAAATTTATAAATATTTTCATATTTGTTCCTTATTTAATCATTGTTAGATTTAATCCATATTTTTTCAATTCATATATACAGAGTGCGATGGATAAATTGTCTAAATTATGCAAAAATCAAAACACTGACATCACATTTTAACAGATATATTTACCAAAATTACACAGATATCTCAAATTACTAAAGAGTAAATTTATTCAATAAAATCGCCATTGGCTTGAACCACGGCCTCCAGATGACTTTAGAATCTCCTGCATCCCTTTTGGACAGTCTCCTTGTCTTGGTGAATGCTGCCATAATCCCTGCCTTCAGTTTATCTTTGATGTTACGAGGAGTTTTGTTGGTCTCTTGCTCAACTGTGTTCCACACATAATAATCAAAGGGGTTGCAGTCTGAGGAGTTAGGTGGCCAGATTTAAGGGGGTTATGTCGTCACAGAAATTATATGACAGCCATGACTGGTTCTCCTGCTTGTGTGGCATGGTGCAGTCTTGTTGCCAGACATAGGGTCTTTTTGCAGCCTCTCTCTTGATCCAGGACAATCAGAGTGAGTTTTCAGAGCTGCAATACCTTCGTAATCACCATTAGACTCATATCTTTCCTGAATCCTCTGAACTGTCCTCAGATTGACACCCAGACACTCTGAAATGTTTGTATTGGAGCTAATGGTGTGAATACCAAGCATTACAGAATGCCTTTTCCAAATTTTTGGCAAAGTGAATTGTGTCACAGTGGCCTTTTTTTCTTTTTTTTTTTTAAAAAGACAGACAGTGCCCAACTTACCCTACTATACTGTGCGGTCAACAAAATCAAAAACAATCCACACCATGTGTATATATATATATATATATATATATATATATATATATATATATATATAAAAATTGATCACCTCACAGTAGGGTGATGGTTTTAATAAGGTAGCTAGCTTTATCTAAACTCAGTGTTGGAGGCAAATTTCTGGAGTGCAAGCTGTGACATCTTTTTGATTTGGAAGTAAAGAAGTGTCTCATAAGAATTTAGAACTAATATTTTTAAGAAAAAAAAAAGTGGGGGGAAAAAGAATTGTGACAACCCCAGAGGGATACATTGACTCTCTCTGTTGCTGAGAGATTTCTTGCTCATATTATTCTTAATAGAATAATTATTCTTCATCTTATGAACAAAATCTACTCTGAATCTGTGTAGATTCAGATTGGATAAAAGAACTGTTGATATGATATATTGCTTGAGGCAAATATCTGGAAAGGAGCAAAGGAAAACAATAAATTGTTTGTTTCTGTTGATGCATCACAGGTGTTTGACTCGGTAAATAGGAATGGAATGTATTAAAGGAGACTGGAATTCTTGGTATGTCGAGTTTTTCACAAAAAGGTATGCAAACAAATGTAAAATGAAAAATTTATCAGAACCTTTTGTTAAAAAAAGAAAAGGGAACAAAGCATGGATGTGTCATGGCAGCCTGCCCTATTTGTGCTAGAGCTCTCTGTCATGCTGGAGTCCATTGCTTCAAAGACTACAATGAAAAACAGCTGATGGTTTCTTCAATCACCAAATATTCAAAGTCAAAACTCTCACCCAGAACAAAATGATTCTGGAATTACTGTTTGCTGATGAGGCAATGTTTGTTGCATCTCTTCAAGAAACCCAAGAACTTTGTCAACTGCTTCTTTTTAGTTGCAAAGGCTTTTGGTCAAATGATTTGGTGTTTACAAAACCAAAGTAACTTATCAGTCCAAAACACCACCAAATGGCATGGAAATATACAGAGCATTTTCTTGATATGGGCAAGTTGATGACAAGCCATGTCACCAAATACTTTCCAAACTTAGGAAATAAAATAAATGAAAGTGCTTTGCTAGACAACAAAATCATAGATAACACTAGATACTTTTGGAAATGATAGAGAAACTGGAATAAAAGAGGCCTCAACTTAAAAGCAAAAAAATTATCTTTACTGTGTAGTAATCACACAAACTTTATCATATAAGAGTTATATATCCTATATAGAGTAAACATCAATTGAACTCATTTCACAAAACATGTTTGTGTATTAGATGATGTAAGAAAGATAAAATTTCTAATGAGGAATTTTTTGCTAATTGTGGTATGCAAAACATAGAAACCATGTTCATGTAATCTGAATAAAGATGGGTGAGCTATGTTATAAGAATGCCTAATCACAAACTTCAAATTTAGATCCTCAGCAGGTTGGTGTATGAGGTTTATGAACAGATTGGGATTTGACACCATGGCAAAAAGCACACATTGCTCAAAAACTGCCAAAAGAAGTGGAGGAAAAAATTCATCATTTTGTAAAGTTTGTTCTGAAGGAATGTAAAATGTTTGAATTTTCCCTGGGAAACATCGGAAACATGGATGAGACTCCCATGTATTTTGATTTATCAGGAAACATGACTATAGACAGAGTGGGAAATAAAACTATTACTGTAAAAACAACAGGTCACAAGAAGCAATATTTCTCAGCTGTGCTTGCCTGTCTAGCTGACTGAACAAAGCTTTATCCAGTGGTAATCTTTAAAAAGAAAAACTATGCCAAAGTAGTCCTTTCCACCAGGGATTATTATAAAAGTCCATCTTAAGGGGGTGGATGGATGAAAACCTGACAAAAGTTTGGTTAGATGAAATGTGGATGAGAAGACCTAGAGCATTGCTTAAACCCCAAAGTCTTTTAGTATGGAACATATTTAGGTCATATTGCTGTGATTCCATCAAGGTTAGGTTGAAGGAATACTGAACAAGGCAAGCAGTCATTTTTGGTAGTTGCACTTCTGTTTTACAGTCATTTGATGTCTCAATAAATAAATCTTTCAAGACACATATTTGCAAAATGTGGACATCTTGGATGATATCGGGTGAGAAAAGAGTTTACTATAAAGGTGGTTCACTGAAAAGACTTGGTTGTTGAATGTGTAAAAAAATGCCTGGGACAGTATCCCTGAAGAAATGATTAAAAAAAATGTGGCATCTCAAATGCCATGGATGGAAATGAAAATGACATATGAGGATTTAGTTGCTTCAAGCATGGAAAAGGCCGAGAATGAGGATATGGTTGCTTCAAACAAAGATGAAGATGGTTATTTCACAAGTGATGATGAGTTGAATGACTACTATGAAATAGACAATGATGAAAACCTATTAACTGATGAACAAATGAGAATGATGTTTGACCGCAATGATAGTGAAGAAGAATTCTTGAGATTCAGTTCTGAATGAATTTTAAAACTGTAACTTTTTTTCTTCTAAATGTACCAAAACATTTTCTTCTGTAGTTATTTTTTTTTTTTTTTTTGTCAAGTTGACTTGATATAAAAATAATATGCAGTAAATATAAAAATACCGGTACAACAGTTACTTCCTTTTGTTTACATGATAATTGACGAAATGTATTTTAACTGCAAAAGTGTAGTATTAATAATTGTAAGTTTTGAAATAAAAGATAGATATCTGATAATTCTTATGTTTAAAAAGGGCTGTGTAACCCCCAGATTATAGTGCGACCTATCTGCAAGTCAACAGTAAATCATCAATTATTAAGCCATAAAGTTTGCGGGGAAAGGTTTAGACCTATAGTATATACAGTAGTCAGCTTTGGAAGATCCTATTTTGGAGATACAAAGATGACATGAGATAAATTGGGATGCAGCCAAAACCTTTGAAAATATCCAAAATCATAAAAATTGGAGTGAATCCTACAATGATAGAATTAATCATTGTGTGATGTCTAGAATTAAGTGTCTGAAGCAAGTGGAATTATTTCAAGTTTATTATAACATCAAAATTTTATAAACAAATTCTACTTTTAACTATTTCTTATATACATTTCTTTAACTATTTCTTATATACATTTCTTTAACTATTTCTTTATATCTTTAACTATTTCTTATATACATTTCTTTAACTATTTCTTATATACATTTCTTTAACTATTTCTTATATACATTTCTTTAACCATTTCTTATATACATTTCTTTAACTATTTCTTATATACATTTCTTTAACTATTTCTTATACATTTCTTTAACATTTCTTTTACTTTACTATTTCTTATATACATTTCTTTATTTTCTTTATACATTTCTTTATATACTTTTTAACTTTTTATACTTTAACTATTTCTTATATACATTTCTTTAACTATTTCTTATATACATTTCTTTTTCATTTTTAACTATTTCTTATATTTCTTTAACTATTTCTTATATACATTTAACTATTTCTTATATTATATACATTTCTTTAACTATTTCTTATATACATTTCTTTAACTATTTCTTATATATATATAAAATGGATTTTTAGAATATCAGGTTGAGTTTTTTTTTTTTTTTTTTTAACCCGAGAAGTGAAATTGAATGTAATGATAAAATAAAGAATTTCCCATAAAAATATACTTAGTCTGCTGTTAGAAAAAGGTGATACACAATGTCACACTAAACAATCTCTCTTGTTGGAATCTTCTATCTTGCATCTTTGTAAGTCTACCATTTTTCTGTGCATTGAATATTCCTGCCATATCTTGTCTGGTCTGCTATGTATCTAGAGAATCTGGTCAAAATCCAAAATAAGAATCTTGACTGTTATTGGTCCTGACCTGGCATCTCTGCTTCAGTCACTTCCCTACCACCGTAACATAGCTTCCCTGTGCTTTTTCTATAATCATTTTCATGGTAATTGTTCTGATGAGCTTTCCTTGTTGATACAACAACTTCACAAATTTAAGCGCAGTACTAGATTGGTAGCTAGGTCACATTTTACTGTTGAAGCTGCAATATAGCCATAAGTTCAATGCTATTTCTTCTTTCATACTTCTCACTTTTGAAATTGTTTTCTAGTTTCTTACTTTCCTATCATCTACAATCTTCAAAAATTGAAATGCTATGTTAATCATTTTTGGTCTCCTTGAATCAAGTTCTTCTATCATTAAAGTTTAGATAAATCAAGTACAACAAAGAAAAGCTTTAAAAATGTTTCTTCAACAAATGAAAGATTCATATGTTGTTTTAAGTCATAAGTTTTTTTTTTTAATCAAATTGGTGAACTAATTTTATTACAAGACATTTTTTTTATAATGACACCAAGACTTTTTCAACAAAAGTCAATTTTAAATACACTAAGCTATAAAATGGTACAAAGTCACGGGATAATCTATCATGTATAGGTATTTTAATATATGATGATAAACTTAAAAAGTGACATATGTGCTTGGTACATCATTTTTGAAATTGAAGCAATGATTATATAAACAAGTAAATGTTAAGGATTCACTTATAACACTAGCTTGGGTTATTGCATCTTTTTTTTTTTTTTTAACTCAATTCGCCTCAAGCAAGATGATAACACCATTAAGATGCAAGGGGCTACCCAAAATGAAAGAAAATGAAAAGACTTTTAGAAGGGATTAGAAACCCAATCTCAAACAGGAAACAAAGGATTGTTTTTACTCCTGTTCAAAATATCAGGGAGGAGTGTGAACCTATCTACTCCTATTAATGCCAAATTTATTAAAAATAAACATATAAAAAAAAAAAAAATGAGGCATGGTGGAGTAGGATAGTGGCTCAGATTGAGGAATAAATGTCAATATAAAAAATGAGCCTTTAACAAGCTTAACATCTGAAAATGTTGATTGCAGGTGAAGTGTAATCAGTGCAGAAATTAGAAGATTTGGGATTTCAGATTGTTCAAGTAAAGCAGGGATTTTAAACAGCTTGACTGACCATTCTTCCTGTTGCGTAAGTTTTTTTTTCTTAGTAAAATATTGCACCACCCAGCCAATGTCACATCTTGCTACTATCTAAATTGGGTTGCCTATGAATCCTAACTTTTTCTAAAGTTAGGATTCATAGGCATTCAATCACCATTGAAAAGGAAGTAGATTTCAGACCATGGATGAGATTAAGGAGAACATGATCAGGCAGCTGATGGCAATCCCAAAAGCGGATTTGCAAACTGTTTGGGACACTTAGATAAGTGTATGAAGTCTCAAGAGGAATATTTAGAAGTGGATCATTGCCTTAGGCCAGTGGTTTCCAAACTTTTTTTTCTCTGGCATTTTCAGAAAGAAAATTTGCTTACGCCTCATCAAATTTTATGTGATAAAAAGTACATTTATAAATAAAAAACAGAGAGAGGGTTAAAGGGAGATAACATTCTGACTTCAAATCTGCAGTTATCATTGATAACTCTCTCTGCCAATTTGCAGATCCTAGTTACTATATTCTTAATCTTATATATAAAATAAAGTGCATGTGTGTGTCCAAGCAACTCCTCCACTGTCATTGGTCCGATTTCAATGATTCATAGCTCATTCAAAAGCACTAGAAAAGTTAGGCACAGAGAACGATTTTTGTTGAGATCAGATTAAGGGTTGCCAGATTATACGAGGTTAAAAATATATATTAATATATTATACTAGCCATTATTGGGGCTTTCATGGTTCAATTAGAGTAACTCTTATTTTCCTTTTGTATGCAAAATTGCAGCTAGCTTAAAAGCCGCATTATCAGGCAGCATTTAAGCTAGCTCCTGTGCAGGACTCTTGGTTTGGCTATCATCACAATAGCTAAGGAGGAGTAAATGCGATAGGCATCAATAAACTACAGAAGAACTCAAAAGTTTATTTCATTAATTAATTGTCCTTTCTAACTTTTTTTTTTCGAGGATTGTTTTGATTTTCATATCAAAAATAGTCAAATAGTTATGTTTAGGAATATTGTCTTATATAGTGCAGAAAAGTGTTTGAAATTTGCATTTTACTTGGCCTTCAATAAGTTGGCATCTATTTGTAAAACTATAACAAACCAATTTATAAATGAAATGTTCATTTAAAATTTTTGTTTCAAAGATTTCAATTAGTGACTATATCTTGCTGCACCAATGACCAATGATGTATGTCACACTGTTTGAGAACCACTGGCCTAGAGAATCTAATTTTTACGACTGTGTGTGTGTATGTGTGATATGGACATTAAGTATATGTGTATACACAAATATGTAGACAAAATAATTCGAGTATCTCACCTCCATAATATCTTTGATATATGGAGTCCATCTGGACATTTGGTAAGTATGGTCAGCTTCTCTCTCTTTGCGATTGTGGGTATGGTAAGGTTGAGCAATCTTACGTCGTCCCCCCTAAAAGAAGAAGACAAAGAAAAGAATAAACCAATTAATTTTCTATTTCAGGCAACAAATGATCCCATAGAGAATTTAAGTTACTGAAAAGCAATTGTAAAAATTAACAGCAAAAAGGACCCCATGTGAACAAGATGAAAAGAAAGTTATTAAAATCAATGTGCTACTTAATGATAAGCAGGTGAAGGGGGGGGGACATTAGTCAGTATCCAAACAAATAGGAATACTCTATACAGAGGATTAAAAAAAAAAAAAAAAAGTATGGGTCATTTAAATATTTCAGTTACTATTTTTTTTTCTTGAAGATAGCTGCAATATGAAAAATACAAATGTGAATTAAAGTTCATATGAAATGGTGAACAACTTAAAATTTTGTGATAAAATAAAAGGAACAAAAATAGGATGAAAGATAAACTAGTGAAAAATTAATAAATTCCTTATAGTTTTGAATATATAAGTAAACATTTACAGAGAAAATAATTTATTTCCTCATAAATTTCAAAATTGTTAATCATTCCAGAATCTAATAAGATTCTCAGAAAACAAAAAATAATAGCATCCAAATTGTTAAAATGTAAATAATCTTACAGACAAGTGATATAAAAATATATGTATGCAAACTTTGAATGGATTATTCTATAAAAAAATATACATAAGTATTTTAGTTTTTTGGCATTTTTACTATAAATATTTTTTTTGAAGAAAAAACATTTCATAATTTGCATAATTGCTGAATTTAAAATATATCCTGAATGACCAAACAAATTTTGTTTTGTTCCACTGCCCATGTCTAGGGATATCTTGTCTAGTTCTTATTTTTAGTACTGCTCAGTTATTGCTCACGCTGATTTCACTGAGTCCAAGTACACATTGCCCGGCCCAGGGATTGAATTCACATTTACTATGCCACCAAATTCATGAACTGATGCTTTAATCCAGTAGGCTATTGTCACATCATATAACTGTAACTGGGTTATATCTTTTTAACCCAATAATACTTGTATCCTGTTACTTGGAAAGGAGATAGGCATTTTCTCTATGCCTTAGAAATAAAGATTTCAGCACCCTGATTGTCTCATAGATCAACCAAACTGATGAATTCTTTAAAAGTGTTTTAACGTTGAAAAATAGTGAGAATCATAAGAGGGTGTTTGCTGCTATTGAAGAAGTATTTGTATCTGTAGAGCAGTGGTTCCCAAACAGTACAGCGTGTCTCATAGGTGTGGCAGAAGAGGATAGCAGGGGAAGTGGAATGATTGAAAGACAATCAAAGATTTAGAAACCATTTCATAAAAATTTATATGCCAAAAATAAATATGATTTCAAAATTTAAAATATTATTTTGGATTACTTGTAATTGCATACATGAGTCCCAGCATAAATAGTTATAAATAATTATTGACCGATTTTTGATATTTTGTGATATTTTTGCATTATATCAAGTATTAAGAATATAGTAACTAGGGTCTGCAAATTGGAGGAGAGAGTTATCAATGATAATTTTCTGACTTCAAATCCATAGTTATCGCCCCTTTAATCCTCTCCTTAGAACTTCTTTGCCATGTGGCCACTGATGAGAGTTTGTTTATCTCAAATTAGGCCAAATATAATGGAGATCACAAGTCAAAAACAAGTTCATCTCACCTCTCATTAAATTTGTGTATCAGATTATAAGTTATTTGTGCTACATATTATATTTAATGCACTATTAGTAGTCGTTTTTTATTTTTAAATGTATTTTTTATCATAAAATTTGGTGAGGCACAAGCAATTTTTCATTTTGAAAATGTTTGGGAACCACTTTAGAGAAAGAGAAAAAAATTAACCCTGCCAAATGTGTCATCAGTATAATTTTACTATTGTGTGTGTTGTATTTTTATGAGTTTTTTTTTCACTCCAAGGTTATTCTTTTTTTTCTCTCCATCTCAATAAGGGATTTTAATGGTAATGAATTATGAACGAAGATTAAACAAACATGTTAATGATGCCTAGGAGTCTGCATAGGTTACAAAATATTTCAACTTATACAAAACTTCTTTCTATAATATATAATTTAAATATTTGCAAATGCAACATAAATTTTGTTCTCAATGTTCCTCCATCTTGTTGAATTTATTTTACTTTGATGTTGCTTACATTGTTTCCTCCCTGTTAAATAACAGAAAATGTGAGTAATGTGCACATCTGGTAAGGTTCTGTTTTAAAGAAATAATTCATTACCATTAACATTCCTTAAAGAAAATGTGGAATTACTCCAAGATGGGATGTTAATGTGTTACAAACAAAGTTGAGTGTGTTTTTCTTTTTTTATTGAGGAAACACAAAAAGAGGTGTTAACATTCTAAAATAAGGAAAGAAAAAAAAAAAAAAAAGAAAAAAAAAGAGGATGGGATATAAAAACTGCAAGAATTGACAATTTCAGTCTTTAGCTTGATGAAAAAGCAAAATCAATCTGAGTGGTTGTTGCCTATTTTAATATTAAACTAACATTTGAAAGAGATTTAGCAGTTAATGAGATTCTGCCTAATATTTCAATACAAAATGAAAACATTGTTAGTATAATATACTTATCTGTTACAGCTTACTGGAAAAAGAAATTAAATCAAATACATTTGAAATAGAAAAAAAAATTAAATTAAGGTCAGATTTAAATAGAAATCAAATCTGGATGAAAGTAGTTTTTAAAAAGTTGAAATTTGCATATTTAACACAATTAGGAAATTAATTGTTACAGAACAACTGAAATTCAAAAAATAAAAATAAATAAGTGTTTAATTTTTTTATAACTAGAAAAATTGTTAAGCATTGATATCGACTCAAAATTTACAAATGCAAATGAACACTGAAGGTGGCAATCTGTAGGAAATTATTTGAACCAATTGGTTGGCTTTGTTCTATAGATATCTTAAGTAGAGTAAACAATTTGTGTTTGAATGTTTTGTAAGAATTACTTTAGGTTTGCATTTGATCTGCCTTTTAATTTAAACAACAAAATGGATAATTAGTATGGGACAGTGAATGTCGTCAAATGAACCATGGCATTCCGTTTGCCTTTTATAACTGCAAAAATTCAAGTTGATCTAATGCAAATGATGTGACTTTAAACAAATTTTATAAGAGTTTAATTTTGTAAATTAATGGTGTTAGATGTAACAATGTTTGGAGATCTAATTACTACTAAATTGTTAAATATTTTTTTATTAAGAATTTGTACATTTTTTGAAGCTCAGTTGCTAGCACTGCATCTTTGCTTATTGTTTTTTTTGAATTTTTTTTTTTTTTTTTTAATCAATTCACCCCAAGCAAGGTGATAATACCACTAAGACACAAGGGGCTACTGGGAGTGAAAGAGAATGAAAAGACTTTAGAAGGAATCAGAAACCCAATCCTAAACAGGAAACAAGGGATAAACCACTACTCCTGTTCAAAAGACCAGGGAGGAGTGTGAATCAAACAAAAGGCAAACCTATCTACACTATTAGCAAAACATTTTCTCCTTTTATAATGTCAGAGATAAGATCAAGACGACTGATGTTCTTGACAGTTTGGCCGATGACAAGGTATTTAAATTTATATAAAGTGTTTAAACAAAAACTTAATAGAAACTTGGCAATTACTTTATAGAATTAATGGTGCCATCAAAAGTACAGCATATGAAAAAATTATATTTGAGTTTTAAAATATCAAAACTAAATATATAAAGTGTAAAATCTGTTTAGCATTTTTCAAAGTAAAGATTTTCATATAAACTATGTATTTAAATCCCTTTAAATCTCTGATTATCATAAGACAGATTATTGATGGAGGAATGTTAGCTACTTTAATACCAATTTAGGACAAGAGTAATAAGCAGAAAGTCAATTTCAACATTGCTGAGAAAAGATTTATCTTAAATTTGTATCAAATATTCTTTTTTTATCTAATTTATATCAAATATTTTTAGGAATAACAAATAAAAATGGGAGATCAGTTTGGAAGAGTTTTAAGTAATGGCTGAATCATAACATTTTTATGTATCAAAAGATTTTCAAATTGCATCCTTACTAAACAAGTTCATGAAAGAGATAAAAAATACTTCAATTAAAATGTATTAATAATCTATTCCCCACTTTAATGATTTGTGTTGTAACTACAAAAATCTTACAAAAATCATTTACTTTATTTTTATTATTATGAAGTTTTAACCAACTGATTTTGCAGAAAGTTGGAAAAAAGATTAAATTTATAATAAAAAATGCAATATATATATTTCATTGAAAAATATATACATATTGTGTCTACACTATAGTTTTTAACCCAAGTACTTTCGATCTTTTTTAAGATCATCATCAGTGGTAAATGACAAAGAGAAACTTATTGTAACTGTTATAAAATCTGGATTCTGTTGTGATAGTGATTTTTAAAAGCACACACAGATGCATTTTATTAGTGCTGTTTTAGAATTTCAAATTTATCCGTTGTAGTTATGGAATTTTTTTGCAAAACAAGCATTTCAATATAAGGGAGTACTTGGAGTAAAAAAAAACAAAAACTACAGCGCCTTCCTTGATGAATTTCATCTTAACATCAAGAAATTGATTAGACAACTGGAAAAGATCAGTATAAAAAATAAGTAGGCACAATATCTATATTATTCAATGAAACAAGTTTGAATTAATGAAAATAAGCTACCTTGTATGTGTGTGTGTGGATATATATATATATATATATATATATATATATATATATATATATATATATATGTGTGTGTGTGTGTGGGGGAAAATGCATGATAAAGTTGGAAAAAGTTTTTGTGACATGTTTTGTCCTTTAGGACTTCGAACTAAATTTATCATGTTGATGCAACTGTATATGTGCATGAACTGGGAATTATATATATATCTAAGAGTGATCTCATCCCACAATCCTCACTATTGCTCCATATGCGGCCTCCTTTGTAAATCACTAGCGGGTCTTAAGTGCCACTTAAGATTATCGCACAAAATTTCATAACCGAATCA